TATATATGAAAAAAGATATATGTATTATAAATATATGCAAATTGACTTGCTGTATTAAAGTTTAGGGCGTCGGTATCGCGAGTGAACAGTTAAGGCTTATCGAATATACACACGATATATTAAGAACGTAAAGCGAAACAAGATAATCACTTGCACGCAAACGTGTTCTCCAAAGAGCATTTGATTTTTTTTAATAATGTGTGTCGGGACATCGGTGGGATCCGCAATCCGCCTTGACATTGTAAATAACACAATTGCTTTAAACGGCTCATCGTTAAGATACGCAAGAGACAAGAGAATTTCAGAAGCTGAATATCATGAAGATAATGTTTCTTTGAGATATCTCTTCGAGGCATCTCTCTTTGGTAGTAAAAACCAATGTCTCTCGAGTATCCAGATGGAAAAAAAATGATTTAGAAGAGAAGAAGAAAAATGTGTACAGGACTAATTCTCTGAATATGAAGACGCGAGATGAGCAGATCCCGATTTTCTCATATATGTTTCTCTGGAAAGCGTACCACCTAGCTTCCCTCCGTTCGGCAATTCAAAGAAAGAGTCATGACAAGCTGGACATTAATCAAACAAAATAGCGAACAATGTAAGCGGCGTAATGTACGAGCTCTTCCCTAAATATGTGATTACCGTGTAATAGTCAACGCTTTATTTGTAATATACGCAACTATTGGATAAATAAATTAAAAACTGTTAAGCGACGTAATTTGTTAAGGGAGGGGGTGTATTAGCGATTATCGAAACATTGAGAACATATAGAAAAAAAAACAAAAATTGATTATTTCCTGCGTAATTAAGTAGAAAATTTATTTCATTTGCCATTTAATATCCTGTATCTGTTTTGATTTAAAGTAAAAGAAGGTAGATTATTGTGGAATAATACAAAAATTTTAAAAGCGCTTTCTTATAGAAAAATTACGTATTTTTTAATGTTTATCTATTTTTTTCAGAATTAATTAATTTTTATGATTCTTTTTTTAATCTCTTTAAAAATGAATAAATAACGATTTGATCGTTCGATTTTGAAAAATAGTATTAAAAGTTACGAGCAATATCAAAATTACAAAGAAATCATTTATTTTTTTCCAAACTATTCAAAAAGAATTTATTTAGGAAAAACAACTCATCAAAATATAATCATTTCAGAAAAAGAATGAAAAAGAAAGATATGAGTAACGAGGAAGAGAACATAGTTTGTCCCGATTTCGTACTCAGTTAGCAAAATGTTAGCAGAATGTCGGCAGACTTGATGGCAAAATTTGATCAAAAAATGTTAGCAGACTGACCTCATCTGAGGTCGCATTCGAGGCTAACATTCTAACAGAACTTGTTGACATTCTATGTCAACAGACTGATAGCAGAAATCGAGCAGACTCTGTCGTTTTGCAGATATTTAAATTGTGACATCATTGCTATCGGAAAATTTATATTATTTTTCTTAATTTATTATAGGAAAATAATTATTATCATTGTATAATTAAATTTAATATATATTTACATTAATCACGAATATACAAATACATTTACATACCGAAACAAATATAAACTATAATAAACAATAAAATATATATGTACAAAATTTAATACCTTTAAATATTAAATTTAAATATTACAACAATTTAATAATTTTAAATATTAAAAATTACAATTCTTCTTAGAGCATCCAAGTAGAAAAGATAAATCCTCGAAAATATCTTCCATTTATTGATTAATCTAAACAAAGAGAAAGAAAATATTAATAATTTAAATCAAGCAACAAAAAAGGAAGTATAATGTCTTTTCGCACAATATTACGTTTTATGTTACTATTTATTTATCGCAGTTAATATTGCTTTTGAATATATTTTGTTTCAAAAAGACATTACAGCAAAATAATAGCGTTGGCTGCACTATCGCCCACTAGTGCAACACTCGGACAGTGTAACATGTTTCCATAGCTGGGCAAATTTATTCGGTGTAATGTGTTTCCATGGCTGCGGTGTAGTATAATAGCGTTTTCTCTTGGAACGTACTGAGAGCGTGTTTGGTGTAGCACCAGTGGTGTGTAAGCGCTGCACTGCACTCAAGTGGTATATGTATGTACACACTTCATGCTGTCGTGTTTATTTCAGAGCACGAACTTGCGGCAGTTTTAAGTTGCATAGAATTTGTATTCAATAAAATAAATAATAAATTTAATAATAAATTTAATTAAATTAATTAATTTAATTAATGAAAAAATTAATTAATTTAATTTAATTTAATTTCTTTCTAATTTAATAATAAATTTTTCATCGTCTTCTTCTTTATCAAAAGAAAAACTCATTCATTCTATTCGTTCTTTTGCTGTGATTGGTTCGCGCGTTCCGTTCCGCTGTGGATTTCCGCGCCATGGGACACCAGTCTAAGTTTGCCCATCACCAGCCATGGAAACACGCTACACTGTCCCAGTATTGCACTAGTAAGCGATAGTGCAGCCAAAGGAGAACGTTACAAATTTTGCATCCTTTCCCTTAAACCGAGAAACTTCCTGTCAATAGCATTTCAGAAATCTGCCTTTATTACACGAGTCTAATTTTTTTAATATCCCAAAGGAGGAAAAAGAAATAATTCTTATTGTGCATTTCTTTTTGAATCAATGTCGATTTGCTTCTTCAAAAAATCGAATGTCTTATCTCGAGATACGACATCGACGAAGTCGTGAAGTTATGAAGAGCTACATTCATACTTCGGCTACATTCATACTTGACCGTTCCGTAACTTTTATCGTGAGATTTTCATAAGCGGCGCGAGAGGCGGCCGACGGAAGATAACCTAAGTTGCCGTGTGCCATATGTCGGGGAGAACATCAGCGATCACGAGTTCTCTGATACTGCGAGGGAGGAGAGAAAGAAAGAGAGAGAGACCACATTCCGTACTTTAAAGGTACTTTAATTCGCTACGCAAGATTTGTTTGCCGTTGACAACCTGAAACCGCAATTGATGAATCTTTTATGTCATCTTTCTCTCGAAGGATTTTGTTGATGTTGACACCAAACTTGATAAATTTGCTCATTAATTTTTTTCTTTGTATATTACTAAACTAATATATTGTATGTTGCTGCACGGCAACTAGGTATTAATGTATATTTACGAATAATTAATTAACAGCGTCGCTTGATAAATTAAGGGATATATGGAGTATTCAAAAAGTCGTTCAATTTGATGGGCGATTTTGAATAAGAATAAAAAAGCGATTGAGGAAATGAAAGAAAATTAAAAAACCTTTTTGATAAAAATAATTCTGGAATGTAAAAGCTGCATGTATACGTGTGTGTGTGTGTGTGTGTGTGTGTGTGTTGTGTGTGCACGCGCGTGCACACACACACAAATATATATATATTTTTTCAATAAAAATTGTAGATGTTTTTATTTTAAATTATTCCATCTATTGTACTTGCTAGCTAGTAATAAGAATATTGTCTCAACTTTTTTATTTCAGAGAGATTAAAATGCCGAAAGGTAGAGTGCAAGAGAAACCTGCTAAAATAAAAGTCAAGCCTGCAAACACAAACTCGGTTAAGACAAATAAGAGTTTACAATTACCGATAAATTTTATGATCGCTGCTGTATGCATTGCTGTTGCTGCTTGGTTCGGATATAAGGGATATCTTGAAACCAGAGTTAATACTCCGTATGATGTAGAAAAGGCATGTAGAATATTTAGTTATTTTAAGAAATTGCAGTATAAATAAGATATTTTTATATGTGTATATACAATCAATATTCATAAATTTATTATAACTGAAGTATTGTTTAAAAATTAGCTAGTTACTACATCTGGATTGGATGTCCCCGATAGATATTGGGGTACCTATCGACCTGGTGTATATTTCGGTTTAAAAACAAGAGATCCGCATTCCTTGGTGACTGGTTTAATGTGGTATTTTCCACGTTTTCTACGTCATGATGGAAGTGGTTTCAGACATTGGTGTGAGCAAGGCGATAAATTAGACAGGTATCGTAATCAAAATCTTTTTGAATCAGATAAAGATTTTATCAAACTGACTAATTGTTGTTTAAATGCTAGATATGCATGGCTAGAACATGACGGGCGAACATTTGGCGTTCAGGAAATAGTAGATAATGCTGTAACTATAAGAACAACATTCGTGAAAAAGCCTGGAGGATATCATGGTGGTGATTGGACTGCGAGAATTGCAGTGTCATCAGAAAGAGAACGAAATGGAGAAGAGATATCGCTGTTATTTTATACCGCTATTGAGGAAGGCACGAAAGGTTGGATAAAGGCTAATTTAGGGGATTATAATCGTTTGACGGGAATCGAAGGAAATACCCAAGGATTGGGATCTTTCATTATAAATGTAAACTTAATAAACGGCACTATAGAAGAACATTCCTTTTTGGCAACAGTTACTCCTGGTCTAAATGTATTGAAAGAAACGGTTTTACAAAATCTTCGTGTTGCAACTCAGAAGGGATCCATGGAGAAACATGTAGTTTTAGCTGGCGAACAACTATCTTTACTGCCCGAAGGCAAGAAAAAGGATCCAAATTTTGTCGCTACTCAAGTGACAGGAAAAATCCCTTTTGAGATCGAAATCAGTTATGAATCTGGCAGTTTTAGTAATAGGATAGATAAATTAACGGGCAAGAATTATGATGAGGCTCTTAAGGAACAAAGACAATCGTTCTCGAAGAAATTTGAAAGTGTTTTTAAGCTGAAGTCCAAGGGATATACAGACGACGAAGTAGCGTTCGCGAAAATGGCATTCTCGAATCTTATAGGTTCGATAGGTTATTTTTATGGAGCTTCACAGGTACAAAGTATGTATACTCAGGGACCTGTGCCTTACTGGAAAGCACCTTTGTACACCGCTGTACCAAGCAGGAGCTTTTTCCCGCGTGGTTTCCTGTGGGACGAAGGTTTTCATGGTTTACTTATCTCAGCCTGGGACACGGAGATAGAATTAGATATTATAAGTCATTGGTTTGATTTGATGAATATCGAGGGTTGGATTCCAAGAGAAATGATTCTGGGCCAGGAAGCTCTGGCTAAAGTGCCCGGAGAATTTGTAACTCAGATTAACACGAATGCGAATCCGCCAACATTTTTCTTAACGCTAGACTTTATGCTCCAGCATAAAGAGGAGGATTTGCTGAACCGTAATTTCCGATTGCTAGACAAACTATATCCACGATTGCAGGCATGGTTCTCATGGTTCAACGTCACACAAGTTGGCGATCTACCTAGTACGTACAGATGGCGAGGCAGAGATGGGACGACTACTAGAGAATTGAATCCTAAAACGCTTACATCCGGCTTGGATGATTATCCCAGGGCTTCTCATCCGAATGTTGTCGAGCGTCACGTCGACTTGCGTTGTTGGATTGCGTTCGCCGCTCGCGTTATAGCTAGAATCGCTGAAATATTGAGTTACTCTGCCAAGAAGTACCAGGAAACATTCCAGTATCTATCCGACAATAACTTATTGAATAAATTACATTGGTCGCCAAACGCGCAAGCATATGCTGATTACGGTTTGCATACCGACAAAGTGATTCTACGGAAACCTGCGCCACCATCACCTCATAAACAGCAATCTAACATACAACCGCCGGAAATGATGCGCGTTGTATTGGAGAATCCATCTTTCAAGTTCGTCGACACAACCTTTGGATATGTATCATTGTTCCCTTTCATTTTGCAGATCATCGAACCCGATTCGCCACAATTGGGGAAAATATTGCAAGATCTACGTGATCCTGATTTACTGTGGACGAAATATGGATTACGCTCGCTCGCGAAAACATCACCCTTATATATGAAATACAATACGGAGCACGATGCGCCTTACTGGCGCGGTCCCATCTGGATAAACATGAATTACTTGACGGTGCGGGCCGCGTATCATTATTCTAACGTGACAGGACCGTATCGGGAAAATGCGAAAAGAATATACCAGGAGTTGCGAAAAAATTTGATACAGAATATTATTAGACAGTATAGAAAGACCGGATACTTGTGGGAGCATTATGACAGTACTGAAGGAAATGGTAAAGGAAGCCATCCTTTTACGGGTTGGACTTCTTTGGTTGTATTACTTATGGCAGAAATATATTAAATGTCATGCTGACATACGTATGTACATATATACATATACATGTATATATAACTATACGCGCGCACATGCACACGCGCGCGCGCGCACACACACACACACACACGCACACACACCATTTCATGAAAAATGGAATTACTGAAAAGACATTGAGAAGTGTTCACTTAGAGTTATTGCATGCTCTATTAACAGCACTTCGTAATAAAATTAAACAGAACGAGTTGTAAAACTATTATGTTAAATTATTATTTTGTGTATATGTATATTACATTTTATCTTTTATATGATGTTAAATGGAAATCATCGTCTTATTTGTAAGAGAAACATTTGTAAGCATGTCAAGCAATACGCTTATATATATATAAATTGGAAAGATAATATTTTTTAACATCTAGATGGCCTGATAGTTAAATTTGGATTCTATAAATTGAAAATAATTAGACCTCCTCGGATAAAAGTGTTATACTGTTTATATAAGTATTAGAAATAAGAGAATATTTTAAAAATACTATACAGTAATTTTTGTACATATTGTCGTACATGCTTTTTGACAGATTTGATGGAATATTCTGTATTCTTGAAGATAATTTTTTTATTTATATAAAAGAATTATTTATTTTCATTCTTTGTATGAAGTATCTTGTTCTTATTTTGTTAATGTTACAAATTGTGAATATATTGTAATTTATAAAATTGCACAACGGGGTAATGATATTGTATAATTATCAAGAGGAAAAGAGACTAGATTTCAAATTCTGGCTGTGATTCACTTGAAAAACTTGTATATTCTAATCTTAAGCTCTTTTTGGGGAAACGCTATGTTCATTGTGATATAGCTTGAATCATAACTTATTTTTGTGGTTGTGCAAAAAGGAGCTCTTGCTAATCTAGTTATTATTTTAAATGATTATCAAAATATAAATGTAGTCTGGATATACTGCAATAAAACATTATTTATACATTGAAAAATTAATTCATCTTATATTGTATTCACAGGATTAAAAAATTAGTTTTATATTATAAATTAATTAAATTAGTTTCACAATTTATTAATTATATTAATTTCTTTTTTAAAAGGATATACATAAAAATGGTGATGCTCGTCTTCTTCATATTTTGTAATTTATATAATTTGATTTTGGAATTTATTTTTCTTTTTAATATTATTCTTACCGATGTTATCAGAGAAGATAGTGAGTTTTGAATTTTAATCGTTTTCAAGAGTTAACGTCATAAAATGATATATTATTAGAATTACGTGAAAATGTAATTACATGAAATATATTTATTCTACAATAAGTCTTTTAATAATATTTTTTTTATTTATATATTTCTAATCGAACCAGGCTTATAATACACAATTTGTCAAGTTTGTCAAATTCAAAATATAAAGAAAGAGAAGAAAAGCCAACCCAATCCAATTTAATTAATCCGATTAACCTAACCTGACATAGCGTAACCTCGTTGTGGTTGGTATCCCTGCTCGCGACGCTCGAGAAGCGATCCTCGATTAGCGGGATCGCTGATGACTCCCTTCAGACGCTTCGCTCGAAGGATAGGTGTGTGCCTGTTAGGGGTTACGGTCGTGAAGTCTCGATCGAAACAAAGTCGCGTGGACATTCCGTTTTCGTAATATGGAGCCGTATGATGTGATCGTCAATCAGCCGGTGGTTATCGACAACGTAAGTGACCGCCGTTTGAGATTTCTTGTCTCTGGAAAGTCAGCAGCATGTCAAACTTCAACACTGTCGGTCGCCAATCGAATGACAAGTGACAATTATCGCTCAAGAGTCGCATGACGTTCATTTTTTTCGCGTTTCTTGCCGTATTGCATTTATCACGTCTTGATTTTGTTTACGAAACGGAAACATCATTGATATCGTCAACAATCAGATTGATGACGATGATAATAATGATGATGTCATTGATAAGTAAACCTTTCTCCGATTTTGAATCAATAATAATATTGCATCTGATTTTGTTCTGTACAGGGATCCGGCGTGATCAAAGCAGGCTTCGCAGGCGACCAAATACCTAAATGCAGATTTCCAAATTAGTAAGTAGCAGAATATCATTGATATTCATGGCAGTGCTTTCTGTTTCTGGAGGTTACTGCCACTGTCACTGTAATAAATTCTGTATTCCGATGATATATATCGAGGATGGTTTCGATTAACTTTATTGGCAGTTGATTCAATCGATAGAATTACTTGTAGCAAAATTTTGAATTATTTATTTGACATTGATTAAATTAATTCAATATACAACATTGTCATTATCAATCAATAATAAAATTAATACATAATTTCTAGCATTGGAAGGCCAAAACATGTACGTGTTATGGCTGGTGCTTTGGAAGGAGATCTGTTTGTGGGTCCAATAGCAGAAGAACATCGTGGCCTTTTATCTCTTCGATATCCAATGGAACATGGCGTAGTCACAGATTGGAATGACATGGAGCGTATCTGGTCTTATGTTTATAGTAAAGATCAGTTAGCTACATTTAGTGAGGAGCATCCAGTCTTACTTACAGAAGCACCATTAAATCCCAGAAAGAATCGTGAGAAGGCGGCTGAAATATTTTTCGAAACATTTAATGTTCCAGCTTTATTTGTTTCTATGCAAGCAGTACTTAGCTTGTAAGTTACATTTTGTCATAATTATAAAATTAAAACTTTGGAGTTATATATACATCTGATAATTTGGATTATGAGATTATATGAAAATTATCTTTGTTATTTATTAGATATGCAACAGGCAGAACCACAGGAGTTGTTCTAGATGCTGGTGATGGTGTTACACATGCTGTACCTATTTATGAAGGTTTTGCTATGCCTCACAGTATAATGCGAGTTGATATAGCAGGACGTGATGTTACAAGGCATCTTAGGCTATTGTTACGCAAGGAAGGTATTAATTTCAAGACTACAGCAGAATTTGAAATTGTCAGAATAATTAAGGAGCGTGCATGCTACCTTGCCAGCAATCCTCAAAAAGAAGAAACAATAGAAACGGAGAAGTTTCAATATGTGTTACCTGATGGTAGTCACCTGGAGGTAATGAAATAATTTGATTTAGCAATTAAAAAAAATGTTACATATAATACATGCATTACACATAATCTTGAAATAACAAATTTAAACTTTCTATATACACATCTCATTCAATGTAGATTGGTCCAGCACGATTTAGAGCACCTGAAGTGCTGTTTAGACCAGACTTGATAGGTGAAGAATGTGAAGGCCTTCATGAAGTATTAACATATTCCATTCAAAAATCCGATTTGGATTTGAGAAAAGTTCTGTTCCAAAATATTGTATTGTCAGGAGGATCGACATTATTCCGCGTAAGTACAAAAATTAGTATATATAATAAGTACTATATAATAAGTATACTAGTATATATAAAATAAAGACTATATAAAAATTACTTATTTATATTTTAAAAAATAATTGCGATATGATAAAATTTTTATTTATTATTTAGGGTTTTGGTGATAGATTACTGTCAGAGATTCGTAGGATGTCACCAAAAGACATTAAAATAAGGGTAAGAAAATAAATGTGAAAAATATAAATAAAAAATAAATACAAGTACAATTTTTAATACGTTTACACAAAAATAACATTATAAATTTATCTATGTTATTGTTAATAGATATCCGCGCCTCAAGAACGATTATACAGCACTTGGATTGGCGGATCCATTTTGGCGTCTTTAGACACTTTCAAAAAAATGTGGGTGAGCAAAAGAGAATTCGATGAAGATGGTATACGGGCTATTCATCGTAAAACATTTTGAACTTAATTTAGAGAAGCTTTTCGAGAATGTTATATATCGAATAATTTTATTATAATATAAAATGATGGCACACACACATACTCGGCACGATAACAAAATGTACCGCAACAAGCATATTCATAATTATTTTGAATAGTAACTTGCATAATTTGTATCATTTTCATAGAATCATTACATATTTCTAATCATATTTTTAAGGGTCCATGATATACAAAAAGACTATTCTAATTTGTTGTCATTTTTGCTTTAGTCGATTAATGGGACTTTATTTTGTATTTTATATATATATAT